ATGCCTAGTACAATGTGATAATGTCACTCTGCTCTGCGCTGTTGACATCATCCAAGGTTATAGCACATTTTGAGTGGCACGGTTGTGGTGTGGTGCATAGTACTAGGGTCATCATTTAAAGTCATACTAAAGGTCTTCAGCTGGCACAAGAATTTATTGTTACTTTGGACATTTTGGATTGATCATAAATTATTGTTTAAAGGAAACTGAATTATATGAACATGTCATATACACTATGTTGCCCAAAGTATTGGGATACCCCTCCAAATCATTGGATTCAGGTGTTCTAATCACCTTCATGGCCACAGGTGTATAAAATCAAACACCTAGGCATGCAGACTGCTTCTACAATCATTTGTGACAGAATGGGTTGCTCTTAGGAGAAGCAAATGGGAACAACAGCAACTCAACCATGAAGTGGTAGGCCACGTAAAATGACAGAGCAGGGTCAGAGCATGCTGAAGCGCACAATGCACAGGAGTCGCTGACTATCTGCAGAGTCAATAGCTAAAGACCTCCATACTTCATGTGGCCTTCAGATTAGCACAACAACAGTGCCTAATGAGCTTCATGGAATTGGTTTTCATGGCCTAGCAGCTGCATCCAAGCTCTACATCACCAAGTGCAATGCAATGTGTCGGATGCAGTGGTGTCAAGCACACCGCCATTGGACTCTAGAGCAGTGTTCTTTGGAGTGACAAATCATGCTTCTCTGTCTTGCAATCCAATGGACGTATCTGGATTTGGCCGTTGCCAGGAGAATGTACTTGCCCTACAGCATTGTGCCAAATGTAAAGTTTGGTGGATGGGGGATTATGGTGTGTGATTGTTCTTCAGGGGTTGGGCTAGGCCCCTTAGTTCCAGTGAAGGGAACTCCTAAGGCGTCAGCCATCCAAGATATTTTGGACAATTTCATGCTCCCAACTTTGTGAAAACATTTTGGGGATGGCCCCTTCCTGTTCCAACATGATTGCACACCAGTGCACAAAGCAAGGACCATAAAGACATGGATGAGTGAGTTTTTGGTGGAGAAACTGGCCTGCACAGAGTCCTGACCTCAACCCGATAGAACACCTGGGTGTTGGGTGAATTAGAGCAGAGACTGCGTGAAAGGCCTTCTTGTACAACATCAGTGTCTGACCTCACAAATGCGCTTCTAGAAGAATGGTCAAACATTCCTATAGACACACTCCTAAACCTTGTGGACAGCCTTCCCAGAAGAGCTGAAGCTGTTATAGCTGGAAAGGGTGGGCCAACTCAATATTGAACCCTACAGATTAAGACTGGGTTGCCATTAAAGTTCATGTGCATGTAAAGGCAGGAGTCCCGATATTTTTGGCAATATAGTGTATATGATATTATTATTATTATTATACAGTATTTATAAAGCGCTAATAGTTCGCTCAGCGCTGTACATTACAAAAGGGGGACAGAACATGTGACAGAACAATACCAATACAATGCAAAATATGAGGGGACTGAGGGCCCTGCTCTTTCGAGCTTACAGTCTAGGAGGGAGGGGATGTTGGCACAGGAGGAGATAGCTGTGGGGGATGGAGTGGTAGGAAGAGTGGAGGAGGTCGGCAAGTTAGCAGGGGGTGGGGTAGGCTTCCCTGAAGAGATAGGTTTTCAGGGTGCGCCTAAAGGAGAGGAGAGTAGGTGATAATCTGATGGGTTGGGGCAGGGAGTTCCAGAGGATGGGTGACACCCTGGAGAAGTCCTGGAGGTGGGTATGGGAGGAGGAGACCAGGGAACTAGAGAGAAGGAGGTCTTGTGAGGAGCGCAGTGTGCGTGCTGGGCGGTACTTGGATATTAGGTCAGTGATGTAGTTCGGGGCAGTATGGTGGACAGCTTTGTACGTCAGCGTTAGGATTTTGAATTTGATCCGTTGCGCAATCGGAAGCCAGTGGAGCGATTGGCAGAGGGGGGTGGCGGAGACGGAGCGATTGGAAAGGTGAATGAGTCTGGCAGCCGTAGAGAGCAGAATCTCTGAGGCCGAAGGAGTGTAGTTTTTTGAGGAGGAGGGGGTGGTCGACTGTGTCGAAGGCCGCAGAGAGGTCAAGGAGTAGGAGCACTGAATAGTGGCCATTAGCTTTGGCGGTTAGCAGGTCGTTGGAGAGTTTGAGTAAGGCAGTTTCGGTGGAGTGTAGGGGACGGAAGCCGGACTGTAGGGGATCGAGGAGGTTGTTGTCGTTGAGGTGAGAGCATAGGCGGGTGTAGACTAGGCGCTCGAGGAGTTTAGATGTAAATGGGAGCAGGGAAATGGGTCTGAGGTTGTTCGGGTCATTGGGGTCCAGGGAGGGCTTTTTAAGTATGGGGGTGATGTGTGCATGTTTCAGAGGGGAGGGTAAAGTGCCAGAGGAGAGGGAGAGATTGAAGATGTGGGTGAGGGAGCGTAGGATGGAGGGGGAGGGAGGTCGTAGAAGTTGTGAGGGGATAGGGTCAAGGGGGCAGGTGGTGAGGCGGGCATCAGAGAGGATCTTGGAGACTTCCTCGATGGTAGTAAGCTCAAAGGTGCGGAGTGTTGGGGGAGCTTCAGTATGAGGAATGTAGGGTGGGGTGGAAGAGGAGGTCAGAGCAGTGGTGGAGCCGTGGGAGAGGGGTGATGAGGGGGTAGCTGAGTGAGGGGGAAGGGGGTTGGAGGGAGTTTGAGCAGCGACGAAGTCCCTGCGGGTTATGTCGAGGGGGAGGGGGGATGAGGGGGTAGCTGTGTGAGAGGGGACAGGTTGAGAGGGCGTGTGAGTTGCGGCGAAGTCCTTGCGAATTGTGTCAATCTTGTTTTGGAAATGATTGGCATTCTCAAGGGCAGTGAGTGAGGTGCTGGGTGCAGGTGGGGGTGGCGAGAGTAGAGAGTTGAAGGAGGAGAAGAGTCGGCGAGGATTGGAGGAGAGGGCCTTGATGAGGGTCAGGAAGTAGGCTTGTTTGGCAGCGTGGAGGTAGGAGGTGTAGGTGTGGAAGGCAGATTTGTAGTGGGAGAAGGCTTGTTGGGATTTTGTTTTGCGCCATAGTCGCTCCAGGGCACGACTGTGTCGTTTGAGGGTTTTGGTGTGATCAGTCTGCCAGGGCTGGAGCGGTCGGGGTCTGATGTTGCTGTGTGGTTTAAGGCGCTAGTGAGTCAAGGGCTGTTGACAGCACGTTGTTGTAGGCGGTCATAGCCAAGTCGGGGCAGGACAGGGGGAGGATGCTGTCATGGAGTTGATCAGCTGCAGAGTGGAGGGGGGCAGGGTTAATGTTGCGGAGGTTACGGCTGGTAGTAGTGTGACATTTGGAGGGGTAGGCGTTGGAGGATGAGGAGATAGGGAAGGTAATCAGGTTGTGCTCAGAGAGAGGGAAGGGGGTATTAGTGAGGTTGTGGGGAGCGCAGCGGTTGGAGAAGACGAGATCAAGGATATTACCGTCAGAGTGGGTGGTGGATTATATGCACTGTGCAAGTGCATAGGAGGAGGTTAAGTGGAGGAGACGGGCTGTGTCCAGGTTGTCAAGGTTGACAGGGATGTTGAAATCCCCAAGGATGATGGTGGGTAGCTCAGAGGAGAGGAAGAAGGGTAGCCAGGAGGAGAAGTCATCCAGGAAGCGGGATATGGATCCAGGAGGCCGGTATATCACAGCAATCTTCAGGGGGGTTGGGGAGAATAGTCGGACGCAGAGGGCCTCGAAGGAGGAGAAGGATAGGGAGGGGGGGTTTGGGAGGACTCGGAAGGTGCTCTGCGGTGACAGGAGCAGACCAACCCCACCACCTTTACGACCGTTGGGCCTGGGTGAGTGGGTCCAGGTGAGACTGCCATAGGAGAGTGCAGCAGGGGAGGTAGAGTCAGTGGGCTGGATCCAGGTTTCCGTAATCGGCAGGAGGTTGAGGGAACGGGAAACAAAGAGGTCGTGGATCGCGGTAAGCTTGTTGCACACCGATCGGGCATTCAGGAGTGCACATGAAAACGGGGGAGAGATTTTAGGGAGCAGGGGGACAGATACTAAGTTGCGGGGGTTGCGGCGGGACGTGGAGGCGGGAGGGTGTTGTGCGGGTGAGGGAGGTGGTGGAGGGCCAGGATTCGGGGAGATGTCCCCCGCGGTTATGAGGAGGAGAAGGGTGAGAAAGGTGGCATGGGAGCGGGATGTGCAGGAGCATGAGAAACTACTAGTGGAGGTGTTCGGGTCAGTGGGAGAGTGGAGTAATAGGAGGAGGTGGTGGGTGCCGTAGAGGGGTGAAGGGGGTGAAGGAAGCAGTGAGGACACAATATACAATTGTTTGGGAGGAGCAGAGGGATATAGTGAATGGATTTTGGGAACGGAGGAGAGGAAAATGAGAAGGAGGAGTGGAAGAGGCATTTTGGGGAGGTGATGAGAGCAATAGTAGGGAGATGATAGCAATGAGGGGGAGATGTACAAGTTCTGGGGTGGAGCAGAGGGGTAAAGAAATGAGATTTGGGAACAGAGGATAGTAATATGGAAAGGAGAAGAGGGGGCGTATTATATAAAGGTACAAGGAGTGAGACTCAGGCATGTAAGATATGTTTCCCAGGGTGTTTGCTTGCAGTCTGTCCAGCGTGCAAGAGCGGAGGTAGGAGATAGATGCAGTTACCCAGAGAAGAACAGCAGGAGTCAATGCGTTTTTCTAGTTAAGAGCGGAGGTAGATATTCCCAACATATTAGTTGACTAATTGACTATCACCCATGTCACATATGTTAACGCATAATAAAACTATGATGATGATATATATGACATTCACAATATATTAGTTGGAATTGATTTTTACAGTCATAGTCATATATGTTAACACATGTCATAACTATTGTTGTTGGTGTAGCATAACTTTGTGTGCTAGCTTTCAAGTTTGTTGTAAGCGAGAGCACTTCACTATATTTTTTCCTTTTTCGTATATTACTGTGTAGTGATAGCACATATTAGTGGCATCAACTCTTGGGCATATATTTCTTTATATTTTTTATTAGTTTATGTAAGGTGTAGCTTGGGAGTCATATTCTAATTTTAAAATAATTAACAGGTAAATGTTTTAAAAAGAGCCTAGTTCTCCACCTTCAGACTTGTAAGTAAGTACAAAATGACTTGTAATGGTCAGCACAGTGTGTTAGTGGTTAATGCTGCTGCTTGCAGCTCATTGTTCCTTGGTTCCAATTCCTGTCCAGGACATTACCTACATAGAGTTTTCATTATCTCCCTGTGCTTGCAAGGCATCCTGCCACATTCCAAAGACATGCTGGTAGGCTGACTGGTTCCTGTCCATACTGGCCCTGGTATGTGTATCTGTGTGTGTCATGTTTCACATGACTGTCATATTGACTGTCATATGCCTTTAAGTGTTTCTGTATTTTGTGTCTGCTCCTCCCTTTCCTTTGGTTTAGTTAATGCTGTATAGATAGCACCTCCTCTTATGGAAGGAGAAGAATGTTGGCACTTACCATGCTTTGGTGTCTACTTGCTTTGAGATTGTGTTACAGGAGTCTATAAGCAAATAGTTCTTAAAACTTTTCTGTACATGATAGCCAGAGGTTACACAGGGGGAGATTTACTAAAACGGGTGCACTCAGAGTCTGGTGCAGCTGCACATGGTAGCCAATCATCTTGGTCAATCTGGCTTTGACAATAAAACCTGGAAGCTGATTGGTTTCTATGCAAAGCTGCACCAGATTTTGCACTCTCCAGTTTTAGTAAATCAACCTCCACAGCCACTAACATTCTAAATTAATTTTCAGGTGAGCTATGATGCCAAACTGGTGTTCCTATTGCTAACAATATTAACTAACAGTAACAAAAATCACTGTAAAACATTTATGTCATGTTTATAATTATTTTTAATTAACACTTTTTAGATGTCTCAAAAAAAACCTTTACATAAATACTTGTCTACATCACATTAATGGAGAAATTAATTTACTTCAGTATGCAGCAAATATGAATTTGCCTAAGGACAAATATTTTCAGGAGGAATCTTCAAAGGTTGGGACTATCCATGTAAATCAGGAACCGTTGGCAACTGTATGGTTCCAACATCTGGCAACCCAAAGATGGAAACAACAATCAGGAGAAATTGAAATCCCAGGACTTCTATATCATTCATTCTTTGGCTGAATTTACACAAAGTGAATTCCCATTACTGTATAGGACCCCCCATGTCCATCAACTGCTGAGAATGTCAAACTCTTTCATCACTGTTATCACTCACTAGACAATCCAGTATGACTATGCAAGCTGAAATAACAGAAAGATATTTGCATAACTTATGAACTGCAATAAGTTATTAGAGTTACTCTATATATTTTACACACTGTTCTCTATGTATGTTATGCAGGAGGATTTGTGAGATGAACACATAAGACTCAGACAGATGCATGGACATAGACCCATGAGATTACTCTTTTATATTTATCTTACAAATATGTATTGAATGCATGCAAGCCTTCCCACATGTCAGTCAGTAAGTGCTATGCCACTCACTTTAAGGCTAAGTTAAGATGTTTCTTTATTAACACCTCATACCTCTTTATATCAGAAGTATACATTTTTGCCACAAATATATAAAAATTTTTACATTTGTATAAACTCAAACCTTAAAGTGGACCTAAATCCCAAAACAAAAAAAATTATATTGCAGCCACTTCCAGACCCTAGATTTGGTTTTCATTTTCAGGCTTTTTTACCTCTATTGCCACTTAGTGATCCTGCGAATAACACACTTTCTGTTCCTTAATGGCTACATGTATTTCTCCAGTGTGTATATGGGGGACAGCCATGGCTGTCACACAGGCTGGACATGCCTGCCTTTGCTCATCTCTATACATGGTGGATTGAAGAGAGTAGCAATTTATTCTTAAAAAAGATAAGGATGTCTGTGCTTTCTTTTCAGCAAACAGCAAGTGACAAGAACTTTGCATTTCGAGCAAGATAAAAAGGTATTTTCTGTACTTGGTGAAAATGTTCCTAGCAGGGGCGGACTGACAAGTCATGGGGCCCCCGGCAATAGGGGATCATGGGGCCCCCGTGTCCTTGCCCACACCTAAAAAGCCTATGAAAAAAACAATGAAAGCTACCAGGGGCATCTCATGGGGCCCCCTACTGACCCCGGGCCCTCGGGCATTGCCCGAGTGCTCGAATGGTCAGTCTGCCCCTGGTTCCTAGCCTGAAAAATGCAACTAATGCAGCCACCACATCTAAGGACTGGTAACCTGCAATATATTCCATTTTTGTTTTAGGGTTTAGATATGGTCCTCTACTCCTAAAGCCAAACTCTATCCCTGAATGTAAATCCTAGCTGTTCGTCCCTAAGCCCAAACTGTAGAATCCCAGCACTATTGTTATTTTGAATGCTGAAAATTTTGTACTACAAAAAATATATATATTAATAATTTGGATACACTTTTGGAAGTGTGACAGCTTCAACATCAATAACTAAAAAAAATTTATTTTTAAACAAGAAACTCAACAAAGCTGTTCTGAACCTTTAGCCAACACAAACCAGGTAAATCCCCATGCTGCAGCAGCACCACCCCCCATTATTATTATTATACAGTATTTATAAAGCGCCAACAGTTCGCTCAGCGCTGTACATTGTAAAGGGAGACAGAACATGCGACAGTACAATAACAATACAATGCGATACACAAGGGGTTCGACCCCATAAATTCTAATATTTGTGGTAGAAGAAACAGAACAGATGAGTGAATTTAATTAATATTATACATATATATATATATATATATATATAATACAGTATATATATATATATATATATAAAAAGCGAAAATTGGAGCAGGTAATTCCTGTTGTGTTGCAAATCTTATCTGTTTGGGGACCTCATTAATGATGGGCTCCCATGATTCCATCCATGTAAAACATCCAAAAACAAATCAGAACGAAATCTCCAAGTTGCAAAAATTTTCTCTTTACTTCAAGTGTATCTTCATATAAAAATAAGCGTAAATGCACAGTTTCACGCATAACACTGCTCTTCATCAAGCTACAATTGTAATGCTAGACATCATAAGATCACTCTATATACCTAAACACAGGGTGTGCTTGCATGGTGCATCTCATCTACACCACTATAGCAGCACTATAGCATTACTCTCATATTAGGAAATACCTTTACATAACAAAATGAAAACAAAAATAAACATAAATCATTTCTCATATGTTACAGCATATTATAATCAACATACTGTAATTCCAACTATACAAAAACAAAACCTGAAGAATTAATTAACCATCATCATAAATCCAAACAAACTGATGCAAAAAATCCATTATTTCACCCCAGCTGTACCATCCCATTTCTCATGGGTCTGAAAGAAATTATGGACAATCAATGTAAAATAACTTATATTACATTACAAAAATAAATACAAATCATAATCCCTATTCAAACCAAAAGGGTGCAGAGAACTGAGCTGATTGATCCACCATCCCTCCCTTTGTTTTAATTTAGGAATTCTGTCTCCAACTCTCCTGTCTTTTTTTTACCTCTTCCAATATCATACTGTACATTTTAAATCAGTGTCTTTATGAATATATTCCACAAAATGTTTAGGAACCAGCAAAACTGGCTGTTTATATACAGTATATATATATATATATACACAGTATATAGCTCTACCCTCGCAGGGGCTGCTTAATTATGCTTGTCCCAAGTGGTTGCCCTGACCTTGCAAGCCTCCCAACACCTCTGACACTCTGAGTTCAGACATATTTCAACAGTATGAAATAATAATGAAAGATACACGATTCTTTAGTAACACCTCTATATTAGGCGTGTTCAAAAGAGTAGACCACAGAATGTAGGTTTAGGAGGTACATTCCCAGTTAACTCATAAAAGCAAAACACTGCTAATGTAAATAGCCAAATAGCAATGGTTAACAGATTATATGGTCACAAATGGTACGTTGTAATTGCAACCCCAACAGCAGGAGGGGGAAGAAAAGGCTTGTTGACTGATGAGCTCCCTCTGGGCCACCGGCGTCACAATAGGGGATGCACTCTGCTAACGGGAAGTGATGTAGTAGTCCCAGTACTGGGCACTAGGGGGAAAAAGGATTAACCATGGTCTCATCTGTAAATTATCCTGAAAGGTATAATGATATAGCTAGTACCTGGCTACATCCATATAATTTATGTACATAGACAAAGCAAACCCCCTTTAAATTATATACATCATACCAAACAAGATAATTCACTTGCGCCTCCAATTCACTGAAATTATCATTTGTTTAAGAGAAGTCAATCATAAGGAACAATAATTAATTAATTCATAAAATATTTTCATTTTTTTCCGATATTATATATAAAAAACTCCCGCTAAAGGACATAAATATTGAAAGTCCTCCAAAAGTTAAAGCTAAATTCCAGACATTCTAGGCATCTAAATACATAGTTGAAATACATCAAATCAGCCATTTTACTTTGCTTCTGCCCCACAGCTTTAAACTTGGATTCCATCCAGGCAGCAGATAAAAATACCTTGCATTTATATATTTGTTACAAAATTATTAAATTTGTTTAATGCAACTGTGTAAGAATCTGAATTTGACCTGACATAAGCCTCCTGTAAGGCCCTGTACGTAGATTGGGAGAGGGAGGGGCAGAACTAAACGTCAATCAAATCTTCTGGATGTACATTTGTTTCTGATATGGATAAATCGCCGGGCTGGATAAACAGAAATGTAAGCCCTCCGGCTTAAACACCTTCAATATATGTATCTCAACTGTGTATGTAGCTGTTTCTCAGAGTTAAGCTTTAATAGATTCTAGCCATCTAGACCTTGTTTTCCAAGGGTCTTGTGGTGTGTGTGTAAAGTTAAAATTCCTGACAAACCATTCATTAAGCAAACTCCAAAAAGAAGTGTCAGGCATTTTGCTCCTCCTGCATGGTGGTTTGATTGACCAAGATGGAAGATCAGAGACTTTTAGAGGATACAAAGCATAATCTGTGAAAATGTGTGCAAGTTTCTTTAAGAATCTCAGTCTCATTTTCCACTTGATCGCTCCATGAGTGAACTGTAAACTAAGT